ATTAAGCTGTTCTATGCAACATCCCTGTTTTCTTTTTCTTTTTCTTGTCTTCTAACTTCATCCTCCCACGGTTGAGCTCAAAAAGCCTTTGCACAAAAATTGGTTCTTTATTGTGGCCGGTAATATTGGAAACTCTGGGATAGCTGACATCATGTTGATTTTGGAAAGAAACTGTAAATATCAATGTAATAGTAACATTTCAGCTGTCAGTATAAGAAATAACTAAATAAATCAAGTTGAAAATGAAATATTTTTATATCACATCATTGGCGACGTGGTGGGTTGAGTGATGTTTTCAAAATGATTAGGAAAAAGGGACGTTGTAGAAATGTTTCTGCCATGTCGACAAATGTTAGTTTCCTGCTAATTCTGTAAATGCCATTAGGAGCTCCTGACATGAATGTACGGCAAGATTTCAGTAGCATCATTAATGTTTTCGATTGCAATTTACTACTTTTAAGCTAAACTTTTTATGTGCTTTCAATGCAGGAGAGTTTGGTGAGGTGTGTAGCGGACGATTAAAACTACCATCCAAAAAGGAAGTTAGCGTGGCAATAAAAACTCTAAAAGTTGGTTACACTGAAAAACAGAGAAGAGATTTCTTGAGTGAAGCCAGCATCATGGGTCAGTTTGAGCATCCCAACATTATACGACTGGAAGGCGTTGTTACTAAAAGTAAGTACCAATATAAAACAACAACTATTTGTTCCTGAATTTTACAAGGTGTACACTTCAAAGTCTGTTCTCTTTAAGTAAGAAGTGCTATACGCATTCAGATTTCTCTCATACAGCCATCTGGGAGGAGTGAGAAGAAACAATAGATTCCCCTTTCCACACCACACAGTGAGAATGGAGGAATATCCCTTGCCGGCTATAGTATTCTAACAGACGCTGCTCCTGCTACTGCCTGAATACCCAAAAAATCACTGTTCAGCTAAAAGTTTCCTCCTAGCTCCTTCCATTTTCAGATTAATATTTGTCGAGCCAGGTTGTGCAGACAAGGCTACCTACAGCTCGGACTCCCGGCAATTCCTGCTAAAACTGAAATTTAAGCCAGGGGCAAATGTGTCAGCACTTTCCAGCTTGAGTTGTGTATGGCCAACAAAATGTGAATCTGTCTATGGTCTCTACGCAGGTGAATTAAAAATTATTCTAAGCCACTTAAAAAAAAGTAAACATGTTATACTCACCCATTCTGTGCAATGGTTTTGCACAAAGTAGCCCGATCCTCCTCTTCTGGGGTCCCCTTCTAGCGCTCCCAGCTCCTCTTTGGTGGCACTTGTGCAATCTCAATCCTGAGCCACACTACCTGCTTCCATAGACATAGACAGTATGGCTCGCCCCCCACCCCCTGCTCCCTCATCACTGAATTTGATTGACAGCAACAGAAGCCAGAAGCTATCAATCTGCTTTGTGAGGAGAGAAAGAGCCAAGGGAGCTGCTGCTTTTGGGCACAGTGCTGTATCGCGATCGCGCTCAGGTTAGTATAACAGGGAGATCCTGAACACAAAATGTTTTTTCGCTTTAATGCAAAGAATGCATTAAGGTAAAAAAAAACCTTAAGGCTTTAGATCCACTTTAAACATTGGGATAAAAACATAGGTCTATGTGGAGAGAAAAAATTAAAAAAGTCCCCTAGAAATGAAAAAAGGGAAGATGTGACAGACTGCTTGGTCTTTTTTTTTGTTTTTATATTTTTTTAGGATTCTTCAAGCTGTTTGCTTGTGTAGCAGAGGAAATTAATCCTATCTGTGACTGCTGTAACCTGCTGACTTGCATCTCCTCTGAAATCTCACCCTTGCACTGGATACACACAAGGCAGTGAGGGATTTCAGTCTCCCCCCCCCCTTCTCCTCTCAGACTGTAATAGAGAGAGATCCAATCAGAAGAGCCATTAAAAGAGCCAATGACAGGGACTTTCTCAAGCAGGAGGTGCAGCTGCAAAGCATTGTGGAATATGCAGTCTTGAACAGAAACGGCCTGATAGGCTTATATAGGAATGGAACTACAGAGGCCAGCATGCTTAGTGAGAGCAAAGTGAAGGACTCCATCTTGTTTTTCCTGAGGGGGGGGCAGTCTGCATGTGGCAAGGTAACAGTCTGCATGTTGCAAAGAAGTGCTTATGGTCAGTTCACAGCATGCTGAGTTATCGGCATCAGTCAAGGGAACATCCAAACTGAGAGAAGTGACCTACAGTACTGTGCCTACACCGACAGGGTGAAGCGCTCATCGTTAGGTGACCAGAGGAGCCTGTCATTTCCAGGGCGATCGTTTGGGCCTTAGTCACAGAATCTGGTGAGAGGGATTTTTCCCACTGTCAGATGACAGGAACACTGCACACATACAGAGACATTATACTTTGCCCATACTCACCAGGCACTGGGTTGTGTAGATGGCCCTGCTAAACAGTATTTGCTTTGCTATACAAATACTGCCACGGGATTACAATTATACTTTACCATAGGAGTTTAAGTGCACCAACGAAAGTGGCTAGCTGAAGATCCCAAGATTCATCCTGTTACCAACTGAAGTTACTGGTACCATACGGGCACGTGCACACGCATGCGTATTCAGGCCTCTATATTGCATGGTGTGTGAGGGAATAGCTTTACCTTGGAAAGTAGCTATTAAGCATCGTTTGGGTACAGTGTTTGCTTACTGGGCTTGTGGTGTCGGGGGTTAGAAGGGAGAAGTCTGACGCAACAGAGAGTCATTCTTCTGCTCTCCTCCTGCTTGGACATCATAGAGCCAAATTTATGTAAAGGAGTTAAATCCACTTTGAGGTTGCCATTTAAGTGTTTGCCTCTGCTCTTGGGGTTATTAATGGTTGGAATCCCCTGAAAGCAGCCTGAGTGTAAAAGTGAGCTATATTGCCTTCGGTCACAGTATTTGTTTTTCTCTTGATTCACCTAACGTATACCGGTTGTTAATGTTTATTACTTCCCATAGAGGTCTTACAATAAAGCTGATCTCTGGGTCTTATTATAAAGTATCTGCTTTTCATTGGTCCTTGCACTTACACTATTGCCAGGTGTGTCAGTTGGGGCTGAGACAGTTCTTGGGGTTGAAAGGCAGAGTGGGGGAGTGAACAAACGTAAGCAGCCCCTATGGGGGTATCGCTACACTTGCATATCCTTACCCTAAAGATCCCACATTATGCTTGCTAGTAGAATAGATTTACACTATATTGCCAAAAGTATTGGGACGCCTGCCTTTACATGCACATGAACTTTAATTGCATCCCAGTCTTAGTCCATAGGATTCAATATTGAGTTGGCTCATCCTTTGCAGCTTTAACAGCTTCAACTCTTCTGGGAAGGCTGTCCACAAGGTTTCGGAGTGTGTATGGGAATATTTGACCATTCTTCCAGAAGCGCATTTGTGATGTCAGGCACTGATGTTGGACGAGAAGGCCTGGCTTGCAGTCTCCACTCTAATTCATCCCAAAGGTGTTCTATTGGGTTGAGTTCAGGACTCTGTGCAGGCCAATCAGGTTCCTCCACTCCAAACTCGCTCTTCCTTGTCTTTATGGACCTTGTTTTGTGCACTGGTGCGCAGTCATGTTGGAACAGGAAGGGGCCATCCCCAAACTGTCCCCACTGTATGCTGATACCTTAAAATTTCTCTTCACTGGAACTAAGGGGCCAAGCCCAATCCCTAAACAGCAACCCCATACCATAAACCCTCCTCCACCTTACACTTGGCACAATGCAGTCAGGCAAGTACTGTTCTCCTGGCAACCACCAAACCCAGACAAATCTGTCGGATTGCCAGACAGAGAAGTGTGAATTGTCACTTCAGAGAACATGTCTCCACTGCTCTAGAGTACAGTGGTAGCGTGCTTTACACCACTGCATCCAACACTTTGCACTGCACTTGGTGATGTAAGACTTGGATGCAGCTGTTAGGCCATGGAAACCCATTCCATGAAGATCTCTACGCACTGTTGTTGTGCTAATCTTAAGGCCACATGAAGTTTGGAGGTCATTAGCTATTGCCTCTGCAGACAGTTGCTGCTGCTCTGACCCCGCTTACGTGGTCTACCATTTTTGGCTGAATTTCTGTTGTTCACAGTTGCTTCCACTTTGTTACAATATCATCACTGACAGTTGACCGTAAAATATTTAGTTGCAAGGAAATTTCATAGATGGACTTATTGCACAGGTGGCAACCTATCACGGTACCACACTTGAATTTACTGAGCTCCTGAGAGCGACCCATTCTTTCACAAATGTTTGTAGAAGCAGTCTGCATGCCTAGGTGCTTGATTTTATAAACCTGTGGCCATGGAAGTGATTGGAACACCTGAATACAATGATTTGGAGGGTTGTCCAATTACTTTTGGCAATATAGTTTATCTATTACTGACTACCAGATAGACCCAGCACATTACATCACTTCCTTTCTGACAGAGAGTTGGGGAGAACCTCTGCCAACAAGACAGACAGATAGCAGTAATAATCAATAGAGGCTCTAACGCTCCCCCTGCTCTAATCAAGGATAAAAGTTTTGGTTGGAATGGGTGTTTAACCTGTTCCCTAAACGGCTAGTTGTCTAGTTCTGGGACGACGTCCATGGACATCATTCCAGAACACGCCCCCTGCGCACCCCCAGCAGCAAGCACCCTGCAATAACCGGCAATTGCCAGAGAAGTGATCAACACTGATGATCAGTGCCCAGCAGTGCTGCCCACCTGTACCCATCAGTGCAGCCTACCTGTACCCAGCAATGCCATCCACCTGTGCCCTGCAGTGCCACCCATAAAGGCTGTAAAAGCAATCATTTCTCCTTCTCTCTGGCTGCATTATTGCAGCCATTGAGAAGTACTGTGAGATCTTTGATTGGTCACAGCTTGTCACATGGTACAAGGCTGTTGTGAATAGCGTTGTACCATGTAACCTCTGTGATCATTCACAGATTTCACACGTAGTAAGCAATGATATCAGGAAGTGACATCTTGCTTACTACTATTCATGTGATCACTTATTGGCCACACAGAGGTCCTATACAGTGATCTGTGTTTTGGAGGACACAGTGGGCACCAGAGCACGGTGCCGCACGCTCCCAGGGAGAGCGCACAGGCAGGGAATGCGGAGGCGGTTTATAAACGGCCACCCGCTCCTGCACTGCTCCCGTCCAGCCATTTATGTACATAATGGGACAGGACGGGAAGTGGTTAAATACAGATGTAACATATAATATATTACCAAAGGTGAACTTACCCTTTAAGGCATTTTCACAGTAACCCGCACAATAAAACTTGTAAAAACCTTTGTGAGGTCAGGCAGGGGGTCAAAGTGAAATGCGTTTTGAAGTGTGAAGTGCATCCCACTGTTTACTTTTTTTTAAAGTTTATTTGAGGTGTCACATAGTGACATTTCATTCAGTTCTCTAGGAAAGGCGTGTATTGCGTAGCAATACTATTCCCTGTGGTGCCATCCAGTGAGCTGCAGACAAAGCAGCATTATGGTGTGAACATAGCACATAGAAAACAGTTTTTTTTCTATGTGGTCTTGCAGCGATTGGCGTTGATCCAGTGTGGAAAAATGCCAGTCACGGCACCTAGTGTGAACAGTTTATCCCTGACATTACTGAGCCTGCTTTCCTATTCTAAGAATAGGAAATTCCTGAAAATTAATTTGTTCAGGCCACAAAATGGGTGGTAAAGCAGTGCTAACAAGTGAGGTCACTTTTCCATCTCGAGAAACAACACAGTTAAGTAAACACAGAGGTTTAGTAAAATGTTCAGACAAATCTACAGTTAAGATAGCAATCTGTACAAGTCAGAAAAAATAACAGCGAAATACAAGGGAGTCAGATAAGAAGTAAAGAGGTGGGATATGGAACAGGAAAAGTGCAGAAGGAGAGTCACAGAGTTGAGATAGTCTGATAGTGTTTTGAAAGCTGAGATCCACGTTTACGTACATGTGTTTTTTTGAATGTGTAACTTTCACAGGTTGTTAGCCTAATTACAGATTTGACTAAAAATGCGTATAGAGGCATTGTTTGATTTTGGATAGAGTAGGGAAGGATTAGAACCGCTGTCGGGTGTTTATTGCTGCGTCCCCCCTGGGGAGATTCACTCTTTCTTTTTGTCCTGGTGACCATTGTCACTGAGACAGAATGGGATGGGGATTCCAAAATTTTGGATTTTTCAAGTTCTCCAAATTGGAACACCTGTTCTTATGACAGCTCTGTAAGAGCTCCTTTACACTAGCTCCACCTTCTGAAAAGTGATCTGTAGAAGAACGATTTTAAGAGGGCATTTGACAGACATTGAGGAGGCATTGGGCGAGATTTGATAAAATTGGTGCAGCTGTGCATGGTAGCCAATCAGCTTTTTAACTTCAACATAACATAGATAGTGCAGCGCTAAAAAAATATGACTGCACCAGTGTTTGTAAGGTAGTGCAAAGTTCCTTAGATCTTATCAAACAAAGATGAAGTAATGGCGTGTACCCCACACGCCTTCACTTCACCATAAAAAACGCACAATATGAATGCACAATAAAAAGATAGTCCAATAAAAGTCTGGTGATCAAAAAAGCCACAGATGGGTTGAGAAAGGTTTGATAAGATCCCTGTGACACATATAGTCCAGCGTTATGCAGAAAATGAGTAAATTGCGCACTCACCGGAAGCACAATTTAATTGCGCATTTGTGTCTCATACACCAAAGGTCACTCCAGCTGTGGATGGAAAGAAGCTCGGAACGGGTGACTCCGTGATGGGGGGTGCCACATCTGGGGGTACCTTATAGTAGGCCTGGCTCCAAACAGGATCAGCTGAATGTTACTCTGGGCCCTGGGATAGTCACCTTGTGGTCCAGCTGGTATAGGTGAGTGGCCGCCGGACCTCCCTTCTGATGATGTACGTGTGATAAGAAACGCGCATCAAGGAGGAGCCCCTGCTAGCTGTGACGTCAAGCCGCCGGATCAAGGAGGTCCGGTGGCCAATCACCTATACCAGCTGGACCACAAGGTGACTATCCCAGGGCCCAGACGCCGGACTATATGTGTCACAGGGATCTTATCAAACCTTTCTCAACCCATCTGTGGCTTTTTTGATCACCAGACTTTTATTGGACTATCTTTTTATTGTGCATTCATATTGTGCGTTTTTATGGTGAAGTGAAAGCGTGTGGGGTACACGCCATTACTTCATCTTTGTTTGGGAAGGTCATACACATCGCATGTGGCCTATACTATTTGATAAGATCTAAGGAACTTTGCACTACCTTACAAACACTGGTGCAGTCATATTTTTTAGGGCTGCACTATCTATGTTATGTTGTCAGCTTTAAGGTTTTATGTTTTTTTCTTTTTAGTGTATCAGCTGCTGTATTAGTTAGCACTCACTGAACCCCCTACTATTATAGCTTTTAACTTCAACTTGTTCAATCAAGCTTTGTAAATAAAACCTGGAAGCTGATTGTTTTCCAGGCAGAGCTGCACCATATTTCGCACTGTCCAGTTTTAGTAAATAACCCCCCATTTTGTCGCCTCCTTACTTCCTGATTTTAACCACTAAATTCTCGCACAAACACAGAGCAACTGTGAGCTTTGCATGTGGTTGTAGGGCAGTTATGGCACGACTTCAGTCAAATGAATGGGCCATATCCAGCAGGTAGTACTGCCAGCTGAACTCGAGAGGGGCATTAATTATTTCAGCATGTGTACATTATTATTATTATACAGGATTTATATAGTGCCAACAGTTTGCACAGTGCTTTACAATATAAGGGAGGCAGTGCATTTACAATACATAAGGAATAGGAGGGCCCTGCTCATGCAGTTTACAATCTAAACGAAGAGGGAGGTGGTACAAAAGGTGATAGCTGTAGGCGATGTTCTGATGTAGGTGGCTCAAGTACAGTTCTTAGGTGGAGGTGGGGTAGGCTTCTCTGAATAAGTGAGTTTTCAAAGATCGCCTAAAGGCAGACAGGGTGGGGCTGACCAGACATACTGCAGTAGGGAGTTCCAGAGGATGGGAAAGGCTCTAGAGAAGTTCTGGAGGTGAGCATGGGTGGACGTGATGAGGGACCTAAAGAGCAAGATGTCTTTGGAGGAGTGGAGCGGGCAATTTGGACGATATCTGTGGATGAGGTTGGTGATGTAGCTAGGGGCAGATCATTTATTTTTTTGGACTTGAAGCGACTTAACTGGATTAACTGGATGCAAGCAGATGCACATCTATTTACATCCACATGCCCATAGACTAACATAGAGCTTCCGATCAGATCTGTCTGAAAAACTGACAGGCTGACCTGAGCAGACCGCTTACAAGAGATGGGCCTTACTACAAATTTAAAAAAGTATCATATGCAGTGCTTAACAAAAGAATGCACTAATATAGTTCCATTCACTGTACCCATTCAGAAGAACAAATTCCACAAATAGGAAGAGCAAGATTGACCCATCGCAGATAGCAAAATATCAATGACTAATAGTGATATGCAGATAAATGTATTTATAGTTCTTTACAACTGCAGCAAAAAATAGAATTCATTTGATGTGCAAATAATTTTCATTTTTAAAAATGTTTCAGGCAAACCGGTGATGATTGTGACAGAATACATGGAAAACGGCTCTCTGGACACTTTTCTGCGAGTAAGTGATGGCTGTATCCTATTACATGTGCCTCTAGCACATATACATCAGACAGAATATCATTGCTTTGAAATGCTCAGCCACTTATTCTCCTCTAATGCTGGATTCACACTGTGGATTTGTGGTACATGGGCACATGGGCAGCAATTTATATGATTCATGTTGGTGTCCTGTGGTGCAATTTATTTTAAATGGCACCCCAATGCATCAACACCCCTGCATTGCACTGCAATTCTTGATAACGCACTACTGTGCATTGTGGTATGCTGTTTTTTTTTTACTTAATCTATTTTTATTGAGAGGGTCAATAAAGGTTGGTGTACAAAGAAAAAGAGGGGGGGAAGAGTAAAGTAAACCAGATGTACACATTGAAAAATACTGTACATGAGCAGGAGGAGTTTAACATTAAAGCAGAACATCACCCAAAAAGGGAAAGTTTCACTTTTCCACCTCCACCCCCTGTCCCACTTTCAGAAACTTTACATTTGATGGTGGAGTGGGTACCTGTTTTGTAAACAGAATTACACTGACAGATGACCAAGAACAGACAATAACTTTTCTTGAGTCCTATGGATGCGCCCTATCCAATAAAAATGCCTCAGAAAGATAATTAATCCAACATCTTTACACAGATGTTTTGGTGTGTTTTTGGTGTGTTTTGATTCATGCTGAAGAAGCTAAAATTGGATTGCCCATAGGTGCCAGGTGAACAATTATAGGCTGAACAGCACCTGCTTCCAATCATATGCAGCATGTGTTCAGGTATTCCAACAGTCACTGGAGTCAGTTAGCAAAATACAATAACCAGCGGTGGAAATTCAGCCATTAATGTACACTGTTCGGCAAGGATACAGAAATCTGTTACATTTCTGTCATTTGACCCACAGGTTGAATGAAAAAAAATCTGTGTGTATGGCCAGCTTTAAGCAATCCATTTAAATAAATGGACTGCAAAACAACATACTCAAATAGGTGCTGGGAACTTCTAGACTTGCATGTGTTGTCAGACAAAGGATATCCTCAAGCAAGCTCAATAGTTCTGGTGAGGTATTTTCAACACAGAAAGGCTTCCCTCAATGGGCATCCAACAGAAGGTCAAACCATAGAAATTCAGAAATGAGTGCAAGCTCAAAGCAGAGGAAAGAGTCCAAGTGTCAGGACTTGGATCACTTGCTAGTGGCACTGTGCTTACCAGAACAGAAAGTTGTAGTTCTGGTATCCATCAACATGTGTCTCCCAGCAGCCAGCAGATCCCAGATTTCGGTTCCATCTGATGCTGGCTGCTGGGAGGGTATTTAGTCCCTCCTCTACATTTCCCCTTCACTCCAGTGTTTTGCTTTGCTACCTGATACTGCTAGCAGTTTATCTTGTTCCTGCTCTTGATCGTGCTCCTTGCCTTGTACCTATACCCAGAAGCCTGTTACCTTTTTCCAACTCCACCTTGTTCCTGATCCCAGTTTTGGTTTCCCCTTCCTATATGTTCCCCGCACCGCCAAT